GAAACAGCAAACGTTAGTCTTGTCTCCATCACTTGATATTCTTATCAAGTTACTTAATCTATTTTTGCCTCTGTTTCCTCCTCCTCTGCAAAACAGAAGTAATAAAAATCTTCATCTCACAGACTTGTGAGGGGCCATGTGCTCTGCTACCTATGGTGCATTTTGCAGTGTCTGGGAGCATTACATCAACACATGGCAACCACTAAGCCCAGCCCACCCCCAGTGTTCCCCAAAGTTCATATGTTGGAAAGTTCTCCCCTATATAGCAATGCCAAGATAGGGGATTCGGAGGATGATGGGGTCAGAGTCTTCCCTTGGGAATGGCAGGAGGCTTGTTATCTCGAGAGTGGCTGTTCTATTTGAGTGATTTGAGTCCTCCTGCACTCAAGCATGCCTTCTGCTTTCTGCATTCTGCCATAAAGTCCCTGATGGCTGAAGGTTCTAGATCTTGAATTTCTTCAGTCTTCAGACCCATGAGAAAGAAATTTCACTGTAAATTACTCAGTCTGGGATATCCTGTTAGAGCAACACGAATAGATAAAGACTGGTAGGTCTGTATGAGGGTGGGGGAGGGGCTCCCATTTCAGCCTAGGTCTTCTACCATGATGACCTGATAATTGCTCCAGTGCTATCATACCGCAATCCCCATTAGGAGCCTAGGGGATGTTTCCCCCATTCAAGGGCACTCTTATGATGTTGCTGCTGAAATCTCACTGGCCAGATTTAGTCACATGACCGCACAATCTGCAAAGGAAGCTGGGCAATATAATTGTGGAGTTTTACTGATAGAAGAAGAAAGAGAGAACAGAATCATGGGTCTGCCTACCCCCAAGAGGAAGAAAAAACTCATATCTTATGAAGATCACCGAGTCAGTTCTAGCTGGGCATTAGCTCTCTGAAGCATGGATATCCTACTACCAGGTGGTCTGTTCTGATACCCTAACAGGCAGAGAACCTCTCCTTCATACTAACCATTAATGATAGTGGGACAGAAGTAGGATAAATACAATGAAAACATTCCAAGGGGACTAAAGAGATGGCTCAGTGGTTAAGAGCACTGGCTGCTCTTCCAGAGGTCCTGAGTTCAATTCCCAGCAACCACAAGGTGGCTCACAACCATCTGTAATGGGATCCGATGCCTTCTTTGGGTGAGTCTGAAAACAGCTACAGTGTACTCATATAAATAAAATAAATAAATCTTTTTTAAAAATCCTGAAATAGGAAACAATGACCAACATGCAGAGGCTTCTGGATATTAACAGTCCCTAAGTGCAGGCGGCACAGCCGACTGCCGCTGGGTCTGTTCTCTGGGACCTCAGCTTCCTATATGGGCAGCTTTGCCCATGGGGAGTTGTTCCTTACCGGGTGTCCTCTACAGCTGTGTGGGAGTGGTACTCCTTTCTCACAGACATTCCATTGTTCCCAGATGGCTTTCCCAGTTGCCGGAGACAAGCAGGGTGGTTGAAAACCAGAGAGGAAGGTGGATTGAGGCGTTCCTGGTCAGGCTTTTGGATTCTTTGCCAATCTAGCACCCTCGAAGCTTAGAAGGCTGATGGGCTCCAAATCTGAGCAACCACAGCCAATGGTGCTGTGTAAGCAGTGCTCACATGCCCAAGATTCTCTAGACTTGGAGTTCTTGCCTGTTCTCTCTCAAGCCAATGTGTCTCTTTAGAGAAACTGTGCTTGGCTCTAAAACATTAGTTCTCAACCTGTGGGTTGTGACTCCTTTGGGGTTTCCAACAGCCTTTTCACAGGGGTCGTCTAAGACCATCAGAAAACACATATTTACATTATAACTTATGACAGTAGCAAAATTACAGTTATGAAGTACCAGTGAAAATAATTTTGTGACTGGGGTCACCACACCGTGAGGAACTGTATTAAAGGGTCACAGTGTTAGTAAGGTTGAGAACCACTGCTCTAAAAGAAACCCTCTTTTCCTTTGCATATTTGTTTGTGGTTTGGGGCTTCTTTGTCTTGTGTGGTGTGTGTGGTGTGTGTGTGTGTGTGGTATGTGGTGTGTGTGTGTGTGTGTGTGTGTGAGAGAGAGAGAGAGAGAGAGAGAGAGAGGGTTTCATGTATCCCAGACTCTCTAGAACTCCCTGTGTAGTTGAGGATGACCTTGAACTTATTATCTGCCTGCCTCCACTCCTGAGTGCTGAGATTACTATATGCACCACTATGCTGAGTATATGAGGTGCTGGGGATCAAACCATGACTTCATGTAAGCTGGGCAAGCACTCTACCCACTGAGGTACATCCTCAGCCCAGTCTTCTCTTCTTTTCATTCCCATATCTGTTCCCTTCCTTTCCCTTCCCTGTCTTTTCCTGCTGTGAGGTGTGGAACACAGGGTCCCACATATTCGAGGTAAATGCCATCACTGATCTCCATTCCCAGCCCAGATGACCCTTATCTCATGTCTGCCGTCTGAACAATCCCACTATCTTTGGAACCATTTGGACAAAGTCCGGGCCCCGCCCTTGCTAACTCTTCCAACCTCCTCCCACTGCTAGCCCGAGTGCACCTCTCTTGTAGGACTTTAATAATAACAGCAACAACTTGAATGTTTACTCTGGTTGAAATGAGTTACCAGCTCTGTGGCCCACTCCCAAAGGCACATAAGGCAGTAGACCTGGAAAAGCCACTCCGCCCTATATGCCTCCCGTCCCCTTCACAGAGTCAGCACAGGTTCGAATCTCACACCTCTGCCTTCCCTTCAATGCTCCATTCTCCATGTTCCACCCCTTCTGGAAAGTCTTCCCTGACTGCATGAAACACACAGAGCTGGAGCATCGTGCACCATAGTGTGTGACCTTTGTACCCACCTCAGTACAGAGCTACCCTTCCCTGTGCAAATATCTTTCAGCCCATTTGATTGCTGGCCCCTGGGTGGCCAAACTATGTTGGCTGGATGTGACGAAAGGTTTCTTTGGGGACCAGCCAGATCCAATTAAAGTCTATGCTGGTTGTTTGCTTGCCAAATGACCTTGGAAAGCGTTGCCTGTTTTCTTTGAGTTCGTTTCCGTGCCTGAATGATGGAATGAAAACATTGTGTAATAGAAACTGCCAAATGGGCCCACTGTCTAGTTTTCTTTTCTTTTAGTGGTAGAATTAAGTGAATTTTAACTCAAATCACACCTCTGACTTCTCTTTAATGCTCCATCCTCCACGTTCCACCTAGGACCACAATAGTGACTGAGATCCCCAACTCCCTGCCCCTTGAAGCCTCCGGGCTAAAGTTGGCCAATCGCCGTGAGTGGAAGTGAGGGAGCAGCTTCCACTTCAGGTCTTAGGAGATGCATGAATTCTTTCCTTTTTCTCTTTCCTTTCTTCTGGCTAGAATGCCAATGCAAGGGTAGAGGCTAGAATGGCCTCTTGATATTCAAGAAGGAAGATGCTTTGATCAGTTTCACAACTACCTTACCTGCTCTAGACTGTCTATAGACTATTGTTTGAAGTATTCTCTCTCTCTCTCTCTCTCTCTCTCTCTCTCTCTCTCTCTCTCTCTCTCTC